TAGTTGTGTAAAAAAACATACGGTACATGCTCAAACCACATAATATTGTGCAATTAATTTATTTTTCTCTTTAGGTAAAATGCAGTGTGTTTGGACCCTTGGAAGCAGGCTTCAGTGCTGGCCATACTTGATGTAAAACCATAAATAAAATACTATCGATCTCCAGTTGTGTGTTTTTTTTTTTGTTTTTTTTTTTATGTTCCAAACCTTTTATTTGAAAATGCTCTCAAATTCAGTACTGAATAACTTTTTTTAATGTAAGATCATTACAGTTGAGATGAGAAGCATTTTTCCTTCCCATATATCCGATGCCTTCTATAGGAAGATGTGCAAATAACTAAGCAATTGAATGATGACAATAAAACCATCTAGCCCCCACAGTACTCCTCAGTACCACTAAATGCTATCTTTCTATGCAAAGTGTTTTGTTAAAGTTCTAATTGGTAATCTTAAACTTCTCCTCCTGTCTTCTTTCAACCTCTTATATGAAATAGTGGTGACAATTTTAAAATCTTATGTAAGAGCCTATATAACTGAACATTTACTTATGTTGCCATGCTTTATCTTTAAAGAGCTGAACATTATTTCACGAATGCCATGTTGCCTGGGGAAAAAAAAAATGTAACTATGACTTCCATACCAGGCCTGAAATGGTTAACTACTTTTCGGATGGATACTGAGAACCATTGTGTAAAAAGGCCAAAGGAAGTAGGCTAATGCTGTAGAAATATGAAACTCCGCCCCTCCTCAAAACCAGATAGTGCTGAACAGTGACAAACCTACAGACTATCTACAAGGCCAAAGCAATCAGTCAAATAAGCATAGTTTGCGTCAGAGCCCATAACTCCCCTTTTAAATGTGTAATAAGACATCAAAATAGATCTGTTCAGTAGGGGTATGTTAGCAGTGGCTAATGTTTAGTATTAGTCAGATACATTAAATCTGTCCTGTTAAATGACACAATTTTAAATAGGTTACAAGTGTTCTAATGAAAGAGGGTTCCATCTATTCAGCCTTAACGTGTGACTCCTACAACGCACTGTAGTTCTATTACGTTGAGTACACATTCAGCACTAAACCAACTACTTGTGATACATTTAAAGTGCTATCACTGAGTATTTTACATTGGGTCATGGTTTTCCTACAATAAGATTAAATCATGTTTATATGTGTGACTGCTTGATGAGCGAATGAAATACTGCAATAACTTTATTAAATGGTGGTGTTTCTAGTCTATAACCGTTGTGCAGTTAAAGGAACTCTATAGTTGTCAAGTGGCTGTTTAGATGACCACCCCCTCTATTGTATAAAGGTGATTTGATGATCTAAGCCAATCAAATGCTTTCTCAGTGGGAGGCTATTGTGCATGTGCAGCAAAATGTTACGCTGTGCCGATTAGCATCTCCTCATACAGCTCCACTGAATCAATGCATCTTTATGGGGAACATTTAGCATCTGCATGCAGACGCTGAACGCTAGTGCTATAGAATGTGACTGCAGATAAGAACCATTTGGCCCATCTAGTCTGCCCAATTTTCTAAATACTTTAAGTCCTAGCCTTATCTTAAAGTTAGGATGGCCTTATGCCTATCCCCCGCATGCTTAAACTCCTTTACTGTGTTAACCTCTACTACTTCAGCTGGAAGGCTATTCCATGCATCCACTACCCTCTCAGTAAAGTAATACTTGCTGATATTTTTAAACCTTTGTCCCTCTAATTTTAGACACTGTCCCCTTGTTGTGGTAGTTTTTCTTATTTTAAATGTGGTCTCCTCCATGTATTTAAATGTTTCTATCACATTCCCCCCCTATTTCGTCTTTCCTCCAAGCTATACATGTTAAAGGACCACTCTAGGCACCCAGACCACTTCAGCTTTCCTTGTAAGTTGTATCCTGCAATCCATGAACCAGTTTAGAGAGAATTCCGAGAAGGGCTACTAAAGTATCAATATCCTTCTGAAGATACTGTCTGCTCTATTACATTGTCTGCCTACCTTCTAAGTCATCAGAAATAATCACCCCATAATCCCTTTCCTCAGATGTTGAGGTTAGGACTCTATCAAATATTCTGTACTCTGCCATTGGGATTTTACGTCCAAGATGCATTATCTTGCACTTATCCACATTAAATGGCAGTTACCACAACTCTGACCATTTGTCTAGTTTACTGAAATCATTTGCCTTATCCCTCCTGGCCCATCAACCCTGTTATATATCTTAGTATCATCAGCAAAAAGACATACCTTACCATCAAGACCTTCTGCAGTATCACTAATAAAAATATTAAAGAGAATGGGTCCAAGTACAGATCCCTGAGGTACCCTACTGGTGACAGGCCCAAGCTTCGAATATACTCCATTGACTACAACCCCCTGTTGCTCAGCCACTGCCTTACCCATTCAACAATATTGGAATCCAAACTTAAAGATTGCAGTATATTGATAAGCCTTCTATGTGCAACAGTGTCAAAAGCCTTACTGAAATCTAGGTAAGCAATGTCTACTGCACCACCCTGATCTATTATTTTAATCAAAAAAATCAATAAGATCAGTTTGGCATGATCTCCCTGAAGTAAACCCATGTTGTCTCTGATCTTGAAATCCATGTGTTTTTAGGTGTTCAACAATCCTATCCTTTAACATGGTTTCCATTACTTTCCCCACTACTGAAGTAAGGCTTACTGGGTACCCTTAGTAGTCCCAGAAGATTGGAAGTTAGAGCTAAAGGGTACCCAAATAAGTGCTTTAAGAAAGCGTACCAAAGGGCCCTCCTAACAGAGAGAACTGACCTCCTGACCGATAGTCCTACACAGAGTAGTGATCAGAACATCATTAGATGCATTGGGACCTTTGACTCAGGTTGGAATATGGTTAAACAGACACTGGAGAGATATTGGCCACTGCTATATCAAGATCAACACCTCAAAGAAGTATTGACTCCCTATGTCTCCCTTAGGGCCAGAAGGGGTTGAAACCTTAAGGATATCTTGGTACCAAGCCACCTTTCACTAGTAACAAACACTACCACGTTGCTGAAAACCCCTGCAGTAGGCACGTTTCAGTGCGTTCGCTGCAAGGCATGTAAATATATCGGAAAACAATCTAAAACTTTCTCAAATTCGGCCAACACAGAAACCCATACAATTAAAACCTTTTTCAACTGAAAACTCTACATGGAGGCTCTGCACAGGGTCTATGCTTTAATGGTATTGAGAAAGTCAAGATGGGCCCGAGAAAGCGAGATATTGACAAAAAACTTTTACAGTGTGAAAGTTATTGAATTTATAAACTTAAGACACTATCCCCCTTGGGCCTCAACGAGGGCTTCTCCTACACCTCCTTTATTTCTGACTAAACACTAACCTCATGACATAACGAGCACGCAAGCTACTAATATGACGGCTACTTATGTAAATAATGTAAATTTGAACAGTATAGTTCACCCTATTACTCTTGAGTAATTATCTCAATTTGCCCCTTGCTGACCCCTACTGGTGGTTTTATAATTGTCAGTATCCTATGCATTAGAGGCACAGCCACTATTAAACTCCCTTCACTTAGTACATCATAATTATCGTTAATTGTGCTATTTGCATATATCATTAGACAACATTGGGTTGTGCAACATAGTTGGACCAATTCCCTTCTTTGATTTAAATAAATAAAAACAATAAAAATTTATTTTGTGTAAACACGTGAATTGTGCACGTCCAGTACTGATGCTTGTCAACCCTAACATCAGAATACATCCAAGGTTTATTGTTTCAGTTTCTATGTATTAAGTTTATTATACTATAAAAGATGGAGACTTAACCCCATACATGTTTCTCATTTAATACCATACACCACTGTACGCAGTAATCATAAGGGCAATGTAGAAGACGGAGGTAAGCACCGACTAATGAGTTTTAGAACTAATATTCACTCGACAGAGGCATTCTTGGGATATTTATTGTATATAAGTATACACTTGTAGACACCCAAAGTATACATTTCATTCTCGATAGGTATAGACTATCTTTATAATATTTTCTGACAAGGCTCTTAGTCATATTTAATTTCATGTTTATTTTTATTTACACAGGTGTGCTGTTTATCTTTCGGTCTCAGCTTTGACTAAGGAGCAGTGGGGCATAGCGGGTCGGCACTACCCACTGTTACCATCAGCTCAGGTGTCGGTACACTTGATCACAATAGGGTGATCACAATCCACTGCATTTAGAGCCTCAAACACAATGGTCCGAGTATAGTCGGTCTCTGTATATTAGCCCTGTTTTCGCAGTGAAGAAAGGGTTACTCTTCCATCGGGTACTGTCGAGATTGCAGTAGGGGAACTAGCTTCGGCTTTAGAAGGGTTAAGTTCAAGCTGTCTACACATCTCGTCCCCATCGTGCAACTTTACATTGAGGGACACATTGGATAGTAATATGACGACCTCCCAGTTCTAACTGAGCATAAACTGCTCAGTAGAATGAGTGGAATCTGATCTATCTCACATACAAGAAGTAAAGTTGGTCAGCACAGAGCCACCTAACGTGATCAAACAACAGCACCAGGGAGATATAGGGTTAATCTGACAATTTTATCGGCAGTTGAGCAAGTTACATAGCGGCTCCTAGGTGATTGTACCATTTAAAATTCTAATTTGCATAATGTGACCACCATTTTGGCGCCCGAAAATGGACACGTACCAATCACGGATTGGTTCAAAGTTTATTCTCAGCAAGGCATATGTATATATATAAGAAACCCTATAAGTGTTGGCCCCTGACGAAGGTGCACTACCAAGGCACCGAAACGCATGTCGGGTTTTTTTTCTTTTCTCACAGGGCACTCTATCACAATGTGCAGGCAACCAACAATCTAAGTATGGTTCTGCACTTTTAACACTATTTAATTTCTGTTTGTTCTATTCCTCCTCATTGGTCTTGAACCTTTTTTTAGAAGTGGAGTACTCACTGATTTTTGTGAGTATAGAGAAGGGGCAATGATAATAGCGATTCAAGGTCTTTGAATCCAAAATATGCAAGATTCTCTGACTTCACAAACTGAATCCTAATTGCTTGTTACTAGATTAGCCTCTGTTTGGAGCTGGTGGCATCCTAGATACGTTGTTTCAACTTGTTATATTATCAACAACAATATCTAATTCACAGCAATATTGTGTGGATTTTGGATTTAAAGTATCCACACAAGTTCATCCCTCCACTTACTATTTATGGGATTATCTGTATCCTCAGACTGATAAGGTAGCTTCTTTCTGTTCCTAAGGCATATTATTTAAGCTATCTACCTTACGAAGTGTGTACGGACAGTATTAGGTCTTGACCATTTCCTGGCATTTGTATATATATTTACTCTTCAGACATTGACCCTGTAATTACAATTAAAGTCTAGAGTCTGAATTATCAAGGAATTTTAGCAACCAGGGATTCGGAGGTTTAGCTATTTAGCTTTAGTCATGTCCTATCTGTTCTGACCACAACTTTTTAGTTTTGGAGTTGGGGTAATAGGCATTTATTTATATTTCATTTATCCATCTATTAATTTAACTCTTTATTTTCACCCTAGTTATATTTCCAGCTGACACTCTCCTGTCTGGAATTCCTATCTAGCAGTCAGAGTATCTTTTGCAGTTCCAAGTATTATAGGGGTTAAGCCCCAAGACAGCTCTGGAGTGTCTGGTAGATGTAATAATCTGCAGGTCAAGTGGACCAGTTGTTTCTTTGACAGCCAACACCTGTAGACTTTTCTTTTTGACAACTCTTAAATAATCCCATTTCTCTTGGACTCCATTTAAATTGCTCCAGTCTGATAATGACTCCTTTACACATATTCTAATTTTAGAAAAGTCTGTTTTTTTTAAAAGTCTAAAACTTTAGTTTTTGTGTGGTGTGACTCAGTCACTGTTCTTATATTAAACCACACTGACTGATGATCACTGGATCCTAAACTTTCACCTACAGTAATATCTGATACCAAATCTCCATTTGTTAACACTAAATCTAGTATGGCCTCTTTACGAGTTGGCTCCTCAACGACTTGTTTTAGAGACAATCCAAGTAGGGAGTTTAGAATATGTGTGCTCCTGGCACAAGCAGCTATTTTGGTTTTCCAATTCACATCAGAAAGATTAAAGTCACCCATGATGATAAATTCCCTCTTCATTGTCATTTTAGCTATTTTCTCAACTAGTAGATTATCTAACTCTTCTATTTGTCCTGGGGGCCTATAAATCACACCTACACGAGTTACTGTGTGATTACCAAATTCTAACGTAACCCAAACGGACTCTATGTTCACCTCACTAACTTTTATTAGGTTAGATTTTGCTGTCCTTCACATACAGGGCCACCCCTCCCCCTTTCTTGCCTTCCCGGTCTTTTCTATATAAAGAGTACCCTGCTATTGCTATGTCCCAGTCATTTTTCTCATTATACCATGTCTCAGTAACAGCGACTAAATCTACATTATCAGTTGCCATTATTGCCACAAGTTCATGGATCTTATTCCCTAAACTGCGAGCATTTGTAGACATGACTCTAAGCTTATCCTTTTTAAACACACTTGCTACTGTCCTTGCTTTGGGGGCAATTGGATTGATGTTTTATCACCCTTTTGCCCCCCCTCTCCTAGTTTAAATACATCCTAGCAAAACCTCTGAACTGCTCACTGAGAACATTTGTTCCCTTTTGAGAAAGATGCAAACCACCTTTTTTGTATAGTTTATTTCCATTCCAAACAGAACTACCATGAGAAATAAAGCCAAATCCTTGCTCCCGACACCATTCACCAAGCCACAAGTCAAAGTCCCTAATACGCATCCGCCTGTCATTCTGAGTGTTATGCAGTGTGGAAGCAACCTGCTGTATATCATTGGCAAAAACACTAAAAGCTTCCTTAACCTCTGAAACCTCATTGCAAGCATTTGTCCCTAGATGG